TTCAGCAAGAGAAGGTCATTCAGACTAACTTTATTTCTCTTTTTGGCAGGGTTGTATGATCGGTAGATCAGGATAATGGCTGAAGCTATAATTTGACAAAATCTCTTGTTTCCATAGAAAAGAAATGTAGGCTAGATGATAGTACATTTTGGTAGATTTGGAACCAAATGAATGGCTGAATTGGAAAAGTAACCATTAATGTGTTCAGTTATCTCAGAAGTGGCTTTCCTTCTAGTGAAGAGCTTCAGAAATCTGTGCCTGGCATCAGGCTGTGTAGCATTTTTATTACTGACTTGAATAAAGGCATAGATGGTGACATGCTCATCAAATTTGCAGATAGCGTACTCAATGACAGCATAGCATTCCAAGAAAGATCTCATAGCCTCCATTGCTGAGCTGAATTTATTAAGATGACATTGAAAAGACATAAGTATAAAGTCTCACACTTGGGTTAAAAAAATCAACATCACAAGTACAAGATAGAAGAGGACTGACCAGAAATAAATTGATTTTAGTTGTCTTCAAGCACAATATGAGCTGACTGTGTGATACGGCAGCCCCCAAAACAATGAAATCTTAGGATGTGGACTGAGGGAGGCATCGTGTCAAGGACTAGGGAGATGACGATCCGATATGCCCTGGTCAGACCACATCTGAAATGTTCAGTTCTAGGCAATATATTTTTTAGGGAGGACATTGATAAGCTAGATAGCATTAAGAGAAGGGCAACCAGGAGAACAGAAAACTTAGGGGAACAGGAGAGCAGTTTTCAAGCAGTTGAAGGACTGATATAGAGAAGAGAGATTTGATTTGTTTTGTTTGGTCCCAGAGTACAGAACTCAGAGCAAAGAATGGAAGGTTTAAAGAAGCAGATTCGGTTGTTATTTAAGGAAAAGCCTTCCTAACAATTTCTAGTGCACATGCTGCATTCAGAGTTAGTGGGATCTTAAAGAAAAGCCTGAATGACTACCTGTTTGGTATTTATAGAAAGAATTCTTATTTAAGTATGTGTTGGGCTAAATGGCCTTTGATGTCCCATCTAACTTTGAGATTCAGTGACACATACTTGGAGAAGGGCAATTCTGGATATGGCAAGAAGAAAAAAAATGGTACGCCCATCAGCAAGATCTGATTTGAATTCTCCTCTCAAAAGGTAATGCTGTTCCATATTCTCATAGGTGTCATTTTAGCATAAAATATCAATACAAATGACCCTCTTTATTAAAAATCTAAATCAGAGTGTAATATTTCAAGTTGCTGGAATGTGCCAAAGAAAGCCTCTATCTTACAGTTAAAAATCCTCAGTTTTTACTTCAAAACATATTCATATTTTGTTTTCCAAAAGAAGGCTAACTTATGACACGTGCTGGAATGGACATTTTTGCTTTCCAGTACTTGCTATTCTCTTTTCTAGTATATGTTTTCCCTTCAGATCTTATTTCTGTGTCTAAGAGTGTGAGCTTCCTTTACTGCTCTTAGTAACATTTTCAGTGATCCTGGCACAACAGAAAAATTAATTTGGAATTATTATTGAGTCATTTTCAACTTTATCTGCCTTGACATCTTATTCCCTCCATAAAGCTTTTTCACATTTATATAATTACACTTTTAAATGGATTAATGCTGTTCTTCAGAGAAATTGCACGGGAAATCTTTTACTCTGTTTACTGGAAAGAAAAAAATAATAACAATTCAAAACATGCCTGAGGAACACAACAGTATCTCTGGCACACAGCACTGCAATATAACTTCGTTTGCTTTTAGGGCATTTTTAAAAAAGACCTTTTGCTTTGACTGCTACAAATCACATTAAAAAATGTATATTGTCTGCTTCCCTCCCCACTTTCTGCTGCCCCTTCCCCCCAACAACTTCACCTGAAAAACAGATATAATTTCCCATGTGTTAGAATTATTGTCTCAGTTCCTTAAGATAACTGTAACTCTTCCGTGACTTAAAAGGATCAGAACTAAGGAGTACATATTTCTTCTCTGGCATTTAGTGGGTAGGTACCCTCACCAGATCAGTCTTTCCAAAGCAAGATTTGAATTGTACATAGCCCAAAGCATACAGACGCTAAGAGTTTATGCCTGGTTAAAAACAAAGCAGGTGAAACGCCCAATACTAATAGTGGTTTCCTAACCTATCAATTTGCAATTCTAGGGAAAAGCTGCAGAGAATTGCAACTTTTCTCTTTAAATTTTCACCAGTATGGGCTGATTTAAAAAAAACAAAGAGTGACTTTCAGAAAATATCATGAGACCATAACAATTAGAACTGCAAATGATCTTAGAAATTGTTGAATTCGGTGCTCATTTACAGATGAAGAAACAGGCTCAGATTTGCCCAGTTCATACAGTGAGTTTCAGAAATGATAATAAAATCCAAACTTTTTGACTCCAAAAGTAAGAGCAGGGCTCTTTCTAGTTTACTACACTACCTCATCATTGTCTATCTCTGTAAAATTAAATATAACCTATGAATTAAGGCCAGGTTATTCTAGTTTCCAAAATGTTTATGTTGTTCAGTTGCACGCATTTCACCATGCCAGATGCCACATTAGTGGGTTTTTTTTACTGGCATACATGTACATGGAGCAGAGCCAACAGAGGAAATTGAATGACAGTACTCTTTATCAAAAGGTAGCACATCTCTCTGTAGCACCAGACATGGAAGCAGTAAAATCAGGACCTTGCCTTTTGGAGAGGATAGCTAGGCTCCTGCTCAGCCCTTCACTGAGGAGCCCTGGAGAGTGGAATCATAGCATATCCAAGGGGATTCAGTAGCAGCACCAGGCAAAGGGAAATTCAGTCTCTGTGAAGAAGCAGTTAGTGGTCTGTGAACTGATTTGAGGCCGGGGGGTGGCGGGGGAGAGGATTCTGCATTTTGGGAGTAAAGCTCTCATCAGTTAACATCTTGAACAGTCCAAAATGCTTAAAAATTCTGGGTTTGTTTTCTGCCCCAGGTGTGTCATTAACCTTAGGGGCATTTCTGTGCCATAACAACCTCCCTATCTAGGGCACACCAACTGTTGCCATGCCAGTGTGGTCAGTGCCAGCCCATCATCAAGGAGCTAAGCTAAGGGGAACAAATGTAGGCCTGTTTTTTGAGGGTTTTTTAAATGCTTTTTTTTTTTAAACTTGAAACAAACCACCTTGAGGGCCAAGCTAGCCTTATTCTCAGCAGTCCAGTTCCCACCTGGCCAGTTTCCTACCTGGTTTTCAGGTGCTGCCTTCTCTCCATAACTTTACTTTTTCTTCTTTCATAATACTCTAGCCCTGGGAAGGAATGTAACCCACCTTTAAAGGCTCAGACACAGAGCAAGGTCAGATGCAGCTGTCTGACGGCAGGCAGTGTTCTTTTTCAACATTCTCTAAGCTCCAAAGGGGTTTTCAACGCTAACCTGGAAGCTGACTACCCAGAATACCCCTAAAGGCTGACCTTGGGGGAAGGGGCTTGCAAGTAGGGAAACATGGAAATGAAAGAAGCCAATTGAGCTAGACAAGCAGGAAAGAGGCAGAGGGCATGACCAATGAGATGTGAGGCAGGCAGAGGAAACAGCTGTGATTGTGGGAGGAGCAGTACAGAAGAAGGGAGCACAAACTTCAGTCCAATGAATACCAATGGCTCTGATGGAGCTGGCGGACGGAGAGGAGGAGAAGCAGCTCACGCATTTCTTCCTTTGCCTCTAGACTCCTCCAGAGAGGAAGCCCAGGGGACCCTGCTCTTTGCTCACTTCAACTTTTTCTGCTTCCCTCTCTTTGTAAATACATACTTTGGTTTCCAAGCTTTTTAACAGCAATATAAAATATCAGCCAACATACCTGAACATTTCTAATTTACTTATTGACCGTGTGTGTAGAGTAAGGGGAGATCAAGTACTCCCCGTTCTTAGACAAGAGATTATCTGGTCAGCAGAATTAGGTCCTGGAGCTAATAGAAGACAATTGGGGGAGAGATGGGACACAGTGAGAGGGAGTGGTGGCAGAAATTGGTATTATACTTTGCATGCCTAGCAAGAAACTGAGACCAATATATTCCCAGTTTAAAATTGGGAGCTGGTAATTACCCTCAGGCTGTAAGTGAGAAAAGCATGAGTATTTCATTCCCCTCTTTTGCTAGAGGCAATGATGATATTTTGTGAGGTCCTGAATTTGAAAAGAAATCAAGCCACATCTCCACAAAGAGAGAGAAGACAGAGTTGCTTATAAAGGGAAAGCAATAACCTGCAGAGAACTGGACTGTTAGGGCCTACAGGAAGGCAAAGGGGAGCGAGTAGTACTAGCATAATCAGGAGGGCCTCTGGCTCATGGGATGAAAGATAGCTCAGTCTGCATTACTCTCCAGCATCCCCTGTGGCTTAAAAACTATTGTTCTCTCTCTCTCTCTCTTTTTTTTTTTGGCTAGGCAATGGGGTTAAGTGACTTGCCCAGGGACACACAGCTAGTTTTAAGTGTTTGAGGTCACATTTGAACTCAGGTCCTCCTGACTCCAGGGCTGATGCTCTATCCATTGTGCCACCTAGCTGCCCCCAAGATTATTGTTTTCATAAGGTAGATCAAAATAGCACCTCTTATTTTTTGAAATTTGGGCAGCTAGATGGTGCAGTAGATAGAATGTCCAGCCTGGAGTTAGGAAGATTCATCTTCCTAAGTTCAAATCCAGCCTCACATATTTACTAGCTGTGTGATCCTAGGCAAGTCACTTAACCTGCTTGCCTCAGTTTCTTCATCTGTAAAATGAGCTAGAGAAGGAAACGGCAAACCACTTTAGTATCTTTAACAAGAAAACCTCAAATGGAGTCATGAAGAGTCGGACATGACTGAAAAGGAACTGAACAACAGATTTCTTTTTGAAATTTCTGATTTATGGATTTTCCTGTTGCTTTTACTAAGCTACACTGGTGAAGCTGGCCATTGTTCTTCTTTTCTGTCCCCTCCCCCAATGCTCCTTCCACCCTCTGGAATCTCCCTCACTGGCTTGCACAGAAATTCCCAAGTACCTTCAAAATCTCCATCTCTTGCCTTTGCTGCAAGTTCAGAAGAAGATATTGTTTCCTGGCAAAGGGCACAGTCTTCCAGAGCTGCACTTCTTAAATTCTGATTTACTGAAAAATAAAGGACAGTACTTCGAATACACTGATAGGTATCCATAAGAAATTAATCCTCTGCAGCAAACAAATGGAAAGTAACAGTAATGAGCGTGGAATCAAGAGTTAAAAACTCTATGTGAACTCCAGGGATGGATGCCTCACGTGTTAGAGCTCCCTCTAGAGGTTTCGGGAGAACCAGAGTGAGAAGAAGCCTTTGGGTGTCTTCCGAAATAAAATGTTGCCTCAGGATAGCCACGGTAAGGTAGCAGAAAGGATGCTGGGATCTGGGTTGGAATCTGGTCTTTGCGCCTTCTTATCTGCTTCTCATTGAACCTGGAAAGTCTGTGATATATAAATACTATCTTCTCCCTGAACACTAATGGTCTTAGGGTTAGGAAATCTGGGCTCACGGCCAAGGTCCGATGTTTACTAGCTTTATGCTACCGAGGCAAATCACTTAACTTCTCTGAGACTCAGTTTCTTCATCTGCAAAATGAGTGTAATTATATTTGCACTCCCTTTGTAAAAGCTTTGTAAATCTAAAAATGCTATGTGAATGAAAGTTACCACTAGCATTACGATCTATTATATGTCTATGTATTATCTGTATGTGTATAGTGTTTTGAGAAACTAGCATGAGGTAGTCCTAGGTGGCTGTACGTATTCATATGACCACAAAGCTTGGAGATGTGTTTCTGTCTCATAGTCAAATAAGGATTCAAACAATATGACTAAGAACAATTTGAAGACATGCTGATTAAAAGAGTTTGCACCTCCAGGAATATGAATGAATGAATGAATGAAAAAAGCATTTACTAAGTGCTTTTCTGCACTGACTTTTTTTTTATTCTGCACTGTACTTAGTGCTAGGAATACAAATTTAAAAAGACAGTCCTTGTTCTCAGAGCTCCCATTCTAATGGAAGAAACATTTTTATTATATATAAGAGCATTGTAATCTAAAGACTATTTTAATAAGGGCTATAAAATATGGATTTTCTGTATGACTCAAATTCCTGTTATAGATACTCCAGAACCATGAAGGAAATAAACATTCCATTCACAATACTTACCCTTCTTCAACTTTTCCCCATCTTCTGTGTCTGGCTTAGTTGCCATAACTTCAAATAAGGTCTTGAGAATACTTCGTAAATCACTTGCATAATTTGTTTGCAGTTGATCAGCAACTCCTAGGAGAGATGGGGAGAAACCGAAGACTAGGTACTCATTCATATCAAATCAACGATGGAAAATAAAGCGTTATCATGAGGTTTCAAAAATTATGTTTTTGAATTCATAACCATAAGGATAACATGCCCTTAGAACAGTCATAGCGACAACAGTCTCCACTACTCCCACTGACGTGGAGAGAAAGGAAAGGTTATTGTTTTGTTTTGTTTTGTTGTTAATGGACCCCATGGATCCATTAAGAAAAATCATGGTATCTAATTAACCAAAATGTTAAGACATTATCCAGATCCCCACAAGTAAATAGTAACATACCCTACTTTGGGGTTAGAAGGAATGATCTTCCTTCTTTCTATCATTCCATAAGTAGGGGGTATGCACCATGGTACAAACCTAGAATCTGGATTCAGAGGACCCAGATTTAATTCCCAGCTCCACTTTGTGTTACATTGCATCTCTGTGAAATAAGGGGGTCTGGCCAGATGCCCTTCCAAAAATATATATATATATGTACACACTCACATATATGTGTGTATATATATATGTAGAGATTATATTTGCATCTGATACAGGGCTTGCAGAAAACAGAGGCTTTTAACTATCTGTCCTGACCTATCTAGCAGTTTTCCCTGCTTGTTTTGATAACTGCATCTTGATCCTAAGTCAACTGCTGCTTACCATCCATCAAATGAACCACTGATCAGATGATTCAATCATTCATTCATGCTTCTGCCCATCCATGAAATACAAATGGAATACCAGTGATGAGTCAAGCACTATGCTAGACAGTAAGATATCCAAAGACGAGCAAGTCTTTGTCCTTATAGATCTGACAATCTAGTGGAAGAGATGTAAGAACTATGCAACAAAGTGAAGGAAATATAGAAAATTAGAGAGATACAAAGTCTGATGAAAGTTCAGAGGAAGGAGAGATTGTTTCTAGCAAAGAAGATGAGGCAATCTGATCTAGGACTTAGAGGATGGGTAGAAAGATAGGATTTGGATAATCTGAAATGAGAGGAAAGGACATTTTAAGAAGTGTATAAGCAACAGGCCTCCCTACTAAGTGACACAAAATACCAATTAATTATCATGATATACATAGTAACATAAGCAAGTTTCATGATAATGCCTCAGTTTTACCATCTGTAAGATAAGGGGGCTCAAAGTTACTGGGGTTGCAATTTATTTAACTTTTGTGGGTCTCAGTTCCCTCCCTTATAAAACAAAAGAGGGGGCTGGATTAGTGGCCTCTAAGGCTGCTTCAGCTCTTAAATTTATGATCCTATTGCCACTGCTGCTATGCAAGCTCTTGCCTTCCATCTCATACTACATCATTAGATTAGCCTCTTTATTGTTCCCCCTGACTTCAGCAGCTACATTCACCAATTTAACTTACACTGATGAAAAATGAATCTTTCTAAAACACCACTAACGTAAGTTCACTCCCTAGAAAGAATTTCTACCACTAACTGACATTACTTACGGCATCTAAACCTAAGCTGCCATTCAAGGCTCTTCACTACTCACTACACATTACCTAATCAACACTATTAGCTTCAATTGCCCCCAAAGGACTTCCCACTCTAATTAAGCCAGTTTCACCATTCTTTCAGGTTCTGAAGTTTACAACCTCACAATCATCCTCAATCAATCACTCTCACTTCATAGTCCCAGTCAGTTGCCAATTCTTGTTATTTCTACCTCCATGACATTTCTTGCATCTGTTCCCTCTTCGCTCCTCACACAGCCCCTCTATCCACAGTCACCACCTTTTTCCTGGACTATTGCAACAATGCCTAATTGGTCTACTCAACTCTCTTGTTTCTCCAATTCACACAGCTGCCAAAGTAATTTTCCATAAATGCAGTCTGACAATGTCATTTCCCTATTCAGTAAACTCCAATGACTCACCCTTGTCTCCATGATAAAATATAGATCCTCTGTTTGGCCTTTCAAGCCCTTCACCATCTGGCCCTGATCTCCCATTTATAGTCTCATTATAGATTTATTTTACTTCCTGTCCAGCCAAACTGGGCTGATTACTGCTGTTCTCACACTTGGCCCTCAATCTCCCACCTCCATACCTCTGCAATACAAAAATGCCTGGTATGTACTCTCTTCCCTTCTGCCTTATAGAATTCCTGACTTCCCTTAAGAATCATCTCAAACCCCACGACCTTCCACATGATGCTTTTCCTGATCCATGACCCCCAGCTTCTAGCTACTTTGTATTCATTGAGTCCATATATTTTATATCTATCTATCTATCTATCTATCCATTGATCTATGTTGTCTCCTCTGATAGAATGTAAGCTCCTTGAGGGCAAAGACAGGTCCATTTTTATCTTTGTATCCCCAGTACTTAGTGCTGTGCCTGGCACATAGTAGGTAGTTAAAACATGTTTGCTGATTGAATGAGGCTCATTTTTCCCTCTGTAAAATGGGGATAATCACATTTTCATTCTATGTACCCAAGGGGCTGTTGCGAAGAAAAACACTCTGTAAATCCTGGGGTGTCATATGAATGTGAGTTATCATTATTATTATTACCTCCTGAGTCAGTCAGTTCAATTTCTGAATATCTAAAATCATTAGAAAATTTTTCCTTATATTGAGCTGACATATCCATCTCCCTATTGCTTCTACCTAAGGAGGCAGATTTCAACATTACATATTGCTGGCTGGTGATATTATATTTACTTTCAAGCATCACATAAATGACAATTTAAAAATCATCTCCATCTATCTATATTAGGAAGAAGAGGCTAAGCCATGCTTAAATCCTTATAATCTATCAATTTATATCCACTTACTATCTAGAGTTCCTTCTAGACCTTGTTTTTTAAAAAAACATACCACAAAAACCTTCCAGAGTATCGAGCAGATGATTTTTATGTAGAAGTATTTGTTAGCTCAGACGCTACGAAAGATTATAAACTGTAGGAGGGACCACCTTCTCTCTATGAGATTTTCAAGCACCCCAAGGCTTATCAAAACATGAGAAATAGTTATCCTGAGATTATCCAAAGAAATGTTTTTAAAATGCAGAGATCATACCTGATATGCAGACAAAAAGCCGGTGGATCAAGTCACTGCTGCTGTGAAACCTGGATCTGATCTTTTCCCTCGTAGCCCTTTTCGCGGCGTGTAAGGCCAGCTGGATCTCCTCCTGGTCAGGGCCTTCTGAAGAACAGGGGCCGGTCTTGATGCTGCTGTTCAAAAAACACATATGGAGAAGGGTGATTAACAGACACTCACTTCTCTTTTCAGAAAATAACCTCTTACTGGATTATTTCTGCTGAAAGCCCATCATTGCCAAGTGGTACAAACAAGCGTTAGTCTGTGTTATCCAATATTTTCATATGTTGAGAGTGTAATACTTTGATGCATCTGTGATCTCCTTAGCCTTGGTAGTCCTTTCCCTCGTATAGATTGCAACCCACCAATTCCATCTCATCCTGAGTAATTCCTACCTATATCTTTCTTTCAGTCCTGCCTAAAGGATCCAGCCAATGAGTTGCAGATTTTCATCAGAGGATTTTTTTTTAATATTTCATGGATACTAGTGCAACACTCAGTTTGTCTATTTGTACTTCTGCTACAAGATCAGCCCATATGACTTCTTTTCCAACTGAATGTCCAATGAAGTCTTTAATTCATTGTATGTTTTTTTAAAGGGATAAAGGACATACAATAAATGATTTAAATTAAGAAAAAAGATTTATCATGGGAAGATTGCTCTATCACCAATGGCTTTCTAAGATACTTGTATTGATTATGTTTTTTTTTCTTTTTTGGTGAGGCAATCGGGGTTAAGTGACTTGCCCAGGGTTACACAGCTAGTAAGTGTCAAATGTCTGAAGCTGGGATGATGGTTTCTTTCATAGCATCCTTTTTTTTTTTTAACTATTCATGGTAGAAGTTAATACCAGGTGCTACATTTGTAATAATTAGTATTTTCAAAGCAGTTCACCAATATTTGTCAGCACATATCTTTGAAACTGTTTAAATATCCCTGTTCTCCAAGTGAGAAAACTAAAGGAAGAAGATGAGTATTTGTCCAAGGCCTCATTCTCCCTGTGTCAGTAAGCTGGAGCAAGGGTAGAACTCTGAAGTTCTGACAGTATGCTGTCACTTGAAATCAAATGATAATTGTAGACTGACACAATGGCACAGATTATTGACATGAAAATGGCCATATGTGAAACCAATTAATAGCAATAACTAACTACTCTATAAGATCACACAAGGCGAACAAGGAGGTTAGGAGAGAGGATCTTTGACTCTTAGTGGTTTCATCTTATTTAACTAAGTTAGCCAGAGAAATCACTAAACAGAATGCTTAAAGTTTCCTCACTTCTGGGGTCCCTTCCAGCTATATTCATACGATCCTATATATCTTCCTTGCCTTCAGCTTCAATTCAGTACATATGTCCACAGAGACTAAAAAGAGGCAGAGATAGCTTATCTGTACCTTCAGGTTACAACGTGAGTAGCATTAGGTCAACTGAAGTTCTCAATATGCAACCGCAGCTGTTTAAACACTAAAATGAGTATTATACCATCTGAGTAAAGAAATGTTTAAAAATGATCTATTTTGTATAGAACAATTTGTTAGACACGAAGAAAGCTACAAAATTTAAATAAGACCCTGTTGGGTAGGTATCCTCCTGAGGCTTATAGTGATATCATACATTATTCAGGTAGTGGTTATCAATCCTGTGGATTATACAAACCCTTTGTTTCTTTTCCTTTCTCTACTATACATGTTTTTTTTTTTGACTGTAATGGGAAAGAAGAGAGAAGAAAGGAAAGTCAAATTAGTAAAGTTTGCTACATTTCTATAAATCACAGGATCATAGATTTTTAGAGTTGGAAAGGACCCTAGAGATCATTTAGTTCAACATCATCATTGCAAAGACAAGGAAGCTGAGGACCAGAGGGATAAGGATCCCCACTGTGATCATACAGTAGGAAATAGTAAAGCCACAACTTGAACACAACACAGGTCCTTGAACTTGCGATCCAGTGTTCTTTCTACTAAGCTACACTGCCTTAGTCTTTAAACTATACCACACTGCTTCAAATCTTCCTAAAACGATTGCTCGGGGGAACATGAGACCATTATCTAAAATCAGGTCCTGGTGTTATTTGCTGAGGTTAGTTACCTATACTATGTGATACTAGACTACATTGCAATATGTCAGGGTACTAAGTAAGGCTCCCAAAGCTGGGACTGTTGGGGATTGTGTCTTCCTATATGACAGGCTGGTAACATCTCCTATAATTCATTCAATGTGTATTTATCAACTACTAATACATACAAGGTCCGTCTGTTAAGTCCTACTGTAATGTCTCATCAAGATACGGAGGTTACCCTGGGTTCTTGACGAATCTAAGAAGCTCTGTCAGGTTCTACCATGCTAAGAAGGCTTGATGTATGGTCCAGGAAATAGACTATGTTTACTTCAAAAATTAGAATCACAGGAACCTCAGGAACCAACTGGTTCAACCTATACCTGATTGAGGATTTAATAATAATAAAAATAGCTAGAACTTATGCAATACTTTTAACTTCCACAAAATAATTTACATATACTATATTATTTAATCTTCACAATAGCCTTATAAGGTAGGTGCTATTATAATTTCCGTTTTACAGATAAGGAAACTGAAGCTGAGACAGGTTAAGTGGCTTGCCCAGGGTCAGACAGCTAAGGGGGTAGGATTTAAAGGCAGGATTTGAACTCAGGCATTTCTTTCTTTTTTTTTTTGGTTTTGCTTTTTGGTGAGGCAATAGGGGTTAAGTGACTTGCCCAGGGTCACACAGCTAGTAAGTGTCAAGTGTCTGAGGCCAGATTTGAACTCAGGTCCTTCTGACTCTGAGGCCAGAACTCTATCCACTGCACCCCACCTAGCTGCCCCCTGAACTCAGGCCTTTCTGACTCAGTCTAGCACTCTATGTACCTTGTCATTTAGCTGCCTCTAACAAATTTACTCAGACAAATAGACACTGCTTGAAGATATCTAGTGGGAAAGAATCCCAATACTTCCCAAGGCAGTCCATTCCATTTTTTGATAGTTCACTGCATCATATGCAAACTTTATAACAATGCTATCTATATTTTCAATTACTTCATTAATAAAAATGCTAAATATCACAAAGCCAAGCACATATTCTGGGGGGCATTCCATTACAGACATTTTCCACATTAATATCAAGCTATTAATGACTACTTTTGGGGGTGACCACTCAAGTAGTTCCAAATCCAACTATTATAATCTAGTCCATACCTCTCTAACTTGTTCACAAGAATATAATTTATTTATTAGGCTCTTAATATGTTCTAGTCACCGTGATAGGCACTAGAGATATAACGAAAGGCAACCCTGCTCTCGAGAAGCTTCCAGCCTAATAGGGAGATGACATGCAAATAACTATGTACAAATAAGATGTATCTTCCAGTATATTCAATGATAATGATTATCATTATTATTATTACTTTTGTTCTAGACCCATGCTTTCTTTAGCATAGGTAGTTCCCCTTGTTATAGAAACTCCTCCCACCAGTGTAGACTGGCAATTCATCTGTATTTATTGCCGCAGAAAGTTGGTGGGAGCCCTGAGAAGTTAAATGACGCAATGAAGTTAAGTCATATAATGAGTAGGTTGGAGGCAGGACATAAACCCTACTCTTTCTAACTCTTAAGATCAGTTCTGTATTTTCCATACCAGATTGCCTTGCCATCTGTCTAAAAATGCTGTCAGAAAGGAAACGAACTTATTCTGACTTGATCTGTTCTTGATGAAGTCATTATTTCTCTTTGTGATCACCACTTCCTTTTTTTCTTCTTCTTCAATTAACAAGCATTTATTTTTTTCTCATTCCCAAGACCCAATCCAAAAGATAAAAGAAAAACAAAGACCTTGTAACAAATATGCACAGTCAAGCAAAGCACATTTTCATAATGGCTAGGTCCAAAAATAAATGTTTTGTTCTGTCTCTTGTATCCATCACCTTTCAGAAACCGAATAGCATGTATCGCCACTGGTCTTCTGGAACTGTGGCTGGTCACTGCACCAATCAGAATTCTTAAGTCTAAAAGAAATCTACCACCAAATATTGTGATTGTACAAATTGTTCTCCTAGTTCTAAAATCACTGCATCAATTTCATCCAAATCTCCCCAAGTCTCACTGAATCCATCCTTTTTGTAATTTCTCATGGCACAGTAATATTCCTCATATTCATGTGCCATAATTTTTTCAGTTATTCCCCAACTGATGGGTACTCCTTTAGTTTCCAGCTTTTTGCTACTACAGAAAGAGATGCTACAAATATTTTTGTTAATGGATGTCCTTTTCCTCTTTCTTTAATCTCTTTAGGATAAAGCCTATTTATTTACACTCATTCTAAGCCATCAAAATCTAAACAATGAGCCTTAGAAGCTTGGGGTGGGGGCTATTATTGGCCATTCAGTGAAACCAAGTTAAGACATCACCTCATGATGTCATTGGTCCTTTTGCAGAACAAAGGACATATAATAACAAGACAAAGGCCCAAAGAGATCAAAGTAGTCATGCTGGGTCAAAGTATATACACAGTTTAATGACTTTTTGGGCATAGTTTCAAACTGCTTCCCAGAAAGGCTGGACCAATTCAAAGCTCTACCAAGAGTGTAATAATGTTCCTGTTATCCTCTAGCTCCAGGAACATTTGTCATTATCCATCTTTGTTATCTCTGCCAATCTGATGGGTGTGAGAGGGAACTCATTGTTGCTTTCATTTGCATTTCTCTATTTGTTAGTGATTTGGAGTCTGGATGTTTATAACTTTAATTTCTTCCTTTGAAAACCTCCCGTTCATAACTTCTGAACATTTATCAAGGAGAGAATGGCTTGTATTCTTGTAAGTTTGAATCAATTTTTTATTTATTTTGGAAATACTTTTATCAGAGAAACAAGCTACAAATATTTTTCCCTAGCTGTTTCCATTCTAATTTTATCTGCACTGATTTTGTTTGTGCAAAAAACCCTTTTCAATTACATGTCCATTCTGTGATTCTCTCTATCTTGTGTACATTCATGAACTCTTCCTCTATCCATTGATCCCAAAGGAAATTTGTACCTTGTTCTTCTCATTTGTTCATGATGTGACTTTTTACATCTAAGTCACACATCAAATTTTAGCTTATTATGGCATATGATGCAA